GAGGTAGAATCTGAACATTAGGCTCCTGCTTCACTCCCTACACAGTGGTGACTTCATCCGCCATTGCCCTATGTGGTAAACCTAGTCCGAATTCTGACCGCATTAGCAATTATCATATTTACTAAATCCTTTTCGTAAAAATGAGAATTGCCTTTGTGGACACAATTTGTTTGGTCCGACCGGTTCTGTAACATTGGCTCGGATAATGAAATCAGTTTTGTTTTTTTAAATCTACAGGACCCAAATCGCAAATATCATCCAAGTGCTATTTGCAAGTGAATAATAATTGAAAAAACTATTTGCCCACTAACGGCGCTAGCAGTTTGTGGGCAAATAGTTAAAAAAAACCTCAGCAGCATGAAGATTACTTGGCGCTTGCTAGCCACCCACCACATGGAAAAAGTAAAATCAGAATCCTCTGGGGGGTCAATAACACCTGCATTTTGCTGGAGGTATTTTACCAATATATGCCATCTGTCAGGTTGGGGCATGTCTACTAAACAATAAAACTAGAAACTGTATAGCCTGAGAAATAAACGGGGGGCATGCTGCCCATGGGCATTGCATGGGAGGGACTACATTTTAAGGGTACGCTAGTCCCCACCCATGCTGGCAGTTGGGGATATATTTCTAGTAAATGGAAAGGAACCATTGTTAATTCTAAAGTAAGCCTGTCTAACAATGGTATGTCCACCCCTATAAATGTCTCCTCCTTCCCTCTTGGTGGCTGGGGTCCACAAGCCACCCCCTAAAATAAATTACCTACCCCACTCTTATAATGTTACGCGTGGTGATGACAGATTTCTCTTTTGCACAGAGGTAACCTCGGAACTCCCTTGGACTGGCTAATGATTCTACTTAATGTTTAACTCCACCTGTGGCAAAGTACTTTAACTCTGGTTTTGCAGCGTTACAAACTGAAACACTGCACATACAGTCTCCAAGCACCAGGACCAATTCAAATCACTGACGTTGTGCTTAGAGTAACCATTAAAGTTTATGTGAATATTTTAGCTATTTGAGTGATTATCCATAGGCCTGGTGTTTCCAAAAGTGTTCAGTACAGCTGCTGTAGAACTAGAATAGCATGATGCATGGCCAGCCTTGGCAAACCACTTATGGGCTATATGTTTGCTTCACCTGCCCAGTTTTGTACCCTTGTCTTAAAGGAACAGTATTGTATAGGTGTATTCCTGACACAAGTGATGAAAATCCATTTTAGGTCTTGCCCCCCCCCTTAGAAAGGATCAAAACACACCTTTATTCCAGCTCTGCATGTGTCCACCGTGCCTGGCTCCTTCCCCAATCTGCCTCATTGGCTGAGATAATCAAAATTGACAATCTCAGCCAATCCAATGCTTTTCCATAGGAAAGCATTGGGAGTCTAATGCGCATGTGTGGAAAAATGCTGCAGTGCCCCGATCAGCATCTCCTCATTGAGACACAATGACACCTAGTTTCCCACACACAGATACAGACAGTCATGTATACAGATACACGCTGACACACATGGACCCAAAAGGACACACAGATACACAAACACACAGACAGGAGAAGAGGGTGACAGTGTGGGAGGAAGTGTGTGTGCTGGTAACAGTGTGGCAGGGTGAGAAAGGGTTACAGTGGGCAGGCGGGGGGGGGAGAAAGGGTTACAGTGGGCATGCGGGGGGGGCTGTGTCCTACCGTAATTAAATTTCTTGGTGGTCCGGTGGGTTAATGCTCAGGGCTGCAGCTCTGCCGAGTGCAGAGCTGCAGACCATATAATAAGTCTTGCATGCTCCCAGTGTTGCCATGGTAACGCTCTGAGTGCTCATGAGACTTATCACATGGTCTGCAGCTCTGCACCCGGCAGAGCTGTAGACCGGAGATGCTGGGCAGACTGATTGTATGCCGCCAGGCTCCCTCCAGTCTTCCTGCCTGACTCCCTAGTCCCCAGCGGCCCTGGGTGTGTGGGTTAACGCGACCCACTGGGAATCGCCCTGCAACGCACGCTTTGGGAACCGCTGCCCTAGGGTGTCTACTTTTCAAAAATATATGGTTTGATCCGGGTAAATTACATTGGCCTGCTTCAAAAATTTCCCAAATTGGACATGGGTGCCTGATGTCCAGCTGTGAAAATTCTAAGTTTAAAAACCTCCAAATAAGGTTTTTATTTAGCCCCCAGAGAACCTGACACACCTATACATTGGTGGTATCACTGTACTTGGGAGATGTTGCTGAACACATATTGGGGTGTTCTTTGGCAGTAACCCTTAAAGTTTTCATACATGTGAAGGGTTATTCAGGGATTCATGACAGATATCAGTGTTACAATGTAACTTTTGTTAATTTTGAAAAAAAAAAAAAAAAATGGTTTGGAGATAGCAAAATGCTACTTACTTATAGTCCTATAACTTCCCCCAAAAAAGCTAAGAATGTTAACATTGGGTATTTCTAAACTTAGGACAAAATTTAGAAACTATTTAGCACGGGTGTTTTTTGGCGATTGTAAGTGCGTTACAAAATGTGGGTTTTTTTTAACATTTTGTTAATCATATTTTATATATTTTTATATAGTAGATTATGATATGATGAAAATAATGGTATCTTTAGAAAGACCATTTAATGGCAAGGAAATCTGTATATAAGTGTGGGTACAATAAATGAGTAAGAGGGAAATTACAGCTAAACAAAAACACTGCAGAAATGTAAAAAGAGCCCTGGTCCTTAAAGGACCACTATAGTGCCAGGAAAACATACTGGTTCTGGGGAGAGGAAAGGGTTAAATCTTACCTTTTTTCCAGCGCCGGGTGGGGAGCTCTCCTCCTCCTCTTCGGCTGAATGCGCATGCACGGCAGGAGCTGCGTACGCATTCAGCCAGTCTCATTGGAAAGCATTCATAATGCTATCCTATGGACGCTTGCGTTTTCTCACTGTGATTTTCAGTGAGAAGCACGCAAACGCCTCTAGTGGCTGTCAATGAGACAGCCACTAGAGGCTTTAGAGGCTGGATTAACCTATTTATAAACATAGGAGTTTCCCTGAAACTGCTATGTTTATTTAAAAAAAAAAAGGGTTAATCCTAGAGGGACCTGGCACCCAGATCACTTCATTAAGCTGAAGTGGTCTGGGTGCCTAGAGTGGTCCTTTAACTGTAAGAAAATTAAGGGGTTAAAGAGGGAGAAGCAAAGATGGTCATGTGCCAAACTACATATGTGGCGTCCTTGCAGTGTCTGTTGTTTTAGCTGAACGGAAATTAACCCTTTCACGTCTTTGTAATGTGTTCCACAGCTTACACATATCTGATACATGGCCAGCAACCAATCTGGTTCATGTGTTCTTCCATTGATTCATTTGTTTTGCTACGATTTCTCTCCTGTGCTCGTCATCTCCCTTCCTAATGGACATTAGATACAAATGAGCACTTAATCAGGAGAATGTTTGCCTGTTTTACGTGTCAATCACTTCACATTCTGTGTCACTAAATATTAAACTTTTTTTTTTTAATATTGGTCAGTGACAAGCGTTTAGCATGATTTATGTTTGTCAGTCTTCCCTGACTCGCTTGTTTTGACATTTACTATTTACACTTATTTGCATTGCTTCAAATTTGACATGTGGATGATTGCTGTAAGGAAAGGATTTCATTTTCTGCTGTTTTATTAGTCTGTGAAGGGGTTAATACATCAAGCAGTCTCTTCTCTCTTCCTCCCATGGTTATTGAAGGTTGCAGAAGTGAGGTTGTACATCTTTTTTATGACTGGCACCTGGAGAGTGTGATTAACAACGTCTGAGAAAGAGAGATGCAATTTGTTTATCAGTACACTACAAGACAACAGGGAAAGCAAAGGCGATACAATGTTAAAGATGTGCTTTGGCGTGAAGGTGGATAAGCAAAACTGCCCCAACTCATGCCATGCTGGTGCTAGGAGATATCTATCACTGAGTAATGTGTGATGACACAAGGTAGAACTTTATGACACATCCTGGCACCAAACAGAGGGAAGATAAAATGTGAAGACTGATTTGGCAACATGGGAGGTTCTGAAATGGCCTATAGAGCTCATCCAAGTGATAGGGGATATAATATTGATGTTCTTTGGCAAGAAGAGAAACATTTAGTGGCAGAAGAATACTTGGAGTTATTGTAGAGAGATACAAGGTTGAGCATGTGTTTTGGCCGATTAGGCAATGAGAATATGTGCGAAGAGGTTGTTAATATTTTCAAATCCTCAAATCTTTAAAGAGGCTGGAGGTTGGCATTTATAAAAAAAAAAGAAAAAAGAAATCATAATTGTGATTCAGTTTTTTTAAGCGACCCGTCTCTATGGTGCTCGGTATTAAGGTTGACTGCCTCATATGTCACAAACTGACTGCATTTATGATTTAAACCAGGGTTTAGGAATGAATCAAATGAAGGGGAAGCTTGATATTTACGTAAATGTAAAGTTGAACAGTGAAATTTCTCTTAAGGGATACGATAATATGTACAGTTTTCTATTTTTCTTCTCCATTGTATAAGAAAACATTTTGGGTAAAAATCTTTAGTGTTCATAAACTTACTGTTCTGTTACAATATGCACGAAGGCATATAATTTTCTGTCCCAGTTTCCATGCTCTGTAGCATTGCTAGACACATCCACCAGCTGTCTCTCCCCCTGGAAAGGTGATTTATGTGAATCGTCAAACTGGTAGAATTCATTTTTCACTTACCTTGTGTAGCTTCTCACAAATATTTATACAGCTCTAACATATTCTTCAGGACTATACGATGGTGTGTAGGTAAAAACTTTCATATCCTGACCAAATGTAAAAGGGTTGCCTTTTTATTTAAACTTTTTACACGTTTTCTGAAATGTTTTATAATGGATTTTGAGCTGAGAATATCTATACTTCACTGGGATTGAGAATCCTGTATTGTTTGCATGTCTCACTAATATATATTTATATGTACGAACGTGTGTTTTTAAAATCCATAATCCCAGTTAATGACGTGAAATGCAAAGTCCACCTTGTCAGAATCTGGAAGCGGAAATACAGATGCATGCAGTTAAAGTGTCTGCATGTAGTAACTGCCTTCCTATAGCAATATAATGGCGATCTCTGCCTAGCTCAGTGAAGAATAGGCTGGGTTAGATCGTTCCTCTCCATACATGCTCTCTAAATATACGGAGCCTGAATTCTTACGAATATAATTTATGTAGTTATAGGAGCATCACAGATTAGTGCACCAACAAGAGTAGAACATAAGTTTTGTTGTATTTAATGGTGTGTCGCTAATCGTTTGGGTATTTTTTTTACAATTTTCTTTTTTTTTTTTTATGTTTGTAATTTGTTTATAAGCCAAAATACATTAACTGTCTAAAGTGCCTTAGTTTTATATAGTGCTGTTTTTGTTTGCTCCTACATTTTCATGAATTTGCTCTTATTTTCTCCTTCCTCCTCAACCTTGACTGGTCTCCTGCTTCTTTCCCTTTATCCCCTTGCCTTTCATTTTCTCTGATTTTCCTTAATACCATAATTCTTCACCACCCTGCCTCTATTTTCCTTGTTGCCCCATCTTCTTTTACTAAAGTTGCCCCTTTTCCCTATACTCCTTTTCTCACATACCATTTGCCTTTTATCACCTGGTTGCCCTCACATTTTTTTATAATTTTTCCCTGTAGCCGCTGTCTTTTAAGACTTTACTATCCTTTAGTCGCTTGCAATGCTCACCAATAATGCATCTGTAATCAAAACAGAGTATCTTTGCCTTCAGTTTTTAAAAATTTATTAGTGCTTCAAAGGGAGCCAGTTATCCAGTTAGGATTGTGACTTTGATTCTTAATGCATGCAAGCATGTGCTTGATAATACAGTATATACTATGTAATCTGTTACAAAATAATCTTATGAACTGGTATCTTCATTTACTTTTTTGTGGCAGTCCTTTTCTTTTTCTTTGAGTACATGTGCCGTGTATATTCCCAATGCATATCTTCAGCATTTAAGTACATAAAATCTTATGTACCATTTTACAGTCCTGTTATCTGATTTGTCTAAATCTCAGAATAGCTTATTTTGTATCCTATGCTAATATGGACATGCCCATAGTAATATCAGGTTGTAGAGCTAGTCCACTTGCCACGTTTGGCCATCTTGAGAATTTTCTATGAACATTTACTCCCTGCACTCTGTTATCCTTATCCTTTTTAAAATGTCCTTTAAAAAAAATTAGAGAGAGACAGACACAGACAGACAGCCAGCCCTGGCATTCTCAGTAAGTAGGCAAACAGTTCCTATGTATGGGTTGGCAGTTTTCTTGGGGTCAGCCAGGTAAAAGCCCAATAAGTTTTAATTATTTACTTTGTGATTGCACCTGAGCACCCCTGACCCCATATCTAGTACAGATGATGGTAGTTGTTATGGAGCCTGGAGTCTTCATTTAAGCTGAACATGTAATAAAAAAAGGGGGGGAGGGGGTCACATCACCCTTAATAGTTGTCAGATCCTGACATGCAGCAATTCTTGTTTGTGTTTCTACTAGTTTAAAACAGGTGCCATTTAAAATAAAATAAAAAATCTAATCTATGATAAATTACTGTCAATTTTTTTTTTTTTTTTAACCATCAGAGGTTCAATTTATTTCATTAATTTAAATATTATGGGAAATTGGGTAATTTACTGTTGGTGCTTCTTATTGCTAGTTAGGGGTTAACGTGTAAAAAAGTTTATAAAACTTTAAAAGTGTAAAAAAAGTTTTAAGAAAGTTTAAAGTTACAAAAATGTAATAAGTAAAAAAAAGAAAAGAAAAAAAAAAGCTTCAAAGAGGAAAAAAAATACATTTTAAATTGCTCATTACCACTACACCTGGAACAAACTAGCGAAAAAATTATCCAACGTGAAGGTTCAAAATATGCCTTTTGAATTACCCCGTGGGGTGGTTTTTAATAAATAGTATGTGTTTGTGGGGTACTTTGAATAACTAACCAGCTAGACTACTCCAAAATGGAACATGGACACAGCGAAAAAAAAACTGTCTGCCTCAAATGTACCCCTTCAACATCCACATATACCTGGCAAAGGTACATACAGGGGTATTGCTGTACTCAGACATACCTGAGCAAAATATGAAGTATTAGTCAGCCGTAGCACGTAAGGTTTGCAAAATATACTGTGCAAATTCACTTTGTGTGTCAAAAAGGCAAAAAAAAAAACTTTATCACTACACTTGGTACAAGCTAGTGGAAAAATTATACCCCATGGTATGCATTTATGGGGTAGTTCGAATATGTAGCCTGCTAAAGTGCTCCAAAGTGGAACACGGACGCATCAAAACCCTCCCTGAAAATTCACACTTAAATACCTGAACTTGTCACGTCTCTCTTACAACACTGTAACTTCACAAAATAGTGTTTAGGTCATGCATCTGGGCATATTGTTTTACTCAGAAGGTGTAACTGAGTAAAATTTGGGGATTTTTATGACTGTAGCACATATCAAGTGAAAGAAATACTCATCAAAAATACAACTTGTATGTAAAAATGCAATTTTTTTTTTTTTTTCCCTCACCACAAACATTGGTGAAAAAATGTTAACAAGTTAAGGCGCAATATACGCCATATAAGATACCCTAAGTTCTCTACCTCCTGGAGCTATTGTTTCATATATACGTATTTCACCCTTTTCAGTTTTTTAACTTCTAGATCCTATACCATCCTGATCTTCAGATTGTATTTTTCCTGTTTCACTTTGTGTATCTTATAACCCCCTATTTTATACTTCCCTTTGGGGTGTATATATCTTGTTAGATACTCTGGGGTGTCTGTTCAAATAACCCTACAAAGGGTTTCCAGTTGATAAAGCAAACTGTTATAATACCCCAAAATGAGACACAGGCCCGTCCTATCCATCTACGAAAATTCTAACTATAGAAACTGAAATAGCCTTGTCCCTTATATGGCACTGAAGCTTTACAGAAACGTGTCAAAGGCATACAATGGGGGTATCGCTATTCTCAGATGTAGCTGAACACAATATGGTGTTCTGTGCAGGAATAGCACACGACAGCTTTACGTAATACACATTACAAAAACCTTGTTATATGTCTATATGCCAAAATAGAGGGAAAAAAAACAATTTTACTCCAATATTTGGCAGAGATTGACCATAGTTATACTCAGCAGATGTAGCTGAACACAATATGGGGTTCTGTGCAGGAATAGCACACACCAGCTTTACGTAATACACATTACAAAAACCTTGTTATATGTCTACATGCCAAAATAAAGGGGGGAAAAGTGTCAAAAAAACTAAAACAAAACTATGGTAAATAGCCTGTGATATCTACTTTATATATTAAATATAATATATGGTAAAATTAGGGGCCTCGGCTTATATTCGGGTCGGCATATTCGCGAGTGTGTGTGTATATATGTATATATATATATATATATATATATATATATACACACACCATATATACTCGAGTATAAGCCGACGCCCCTAATTTTACCACAAAAAACTGGGAAAACTTATTGACTCGAGTATAAGCCTAGGGTGGGAATTGCAGCAGCTACTGGTAAATTTCTTAATAAAATTAGATCCCAATAAAATTACATTAATTGAATATTTATAGTGTGTGCATAGAATGAATGCAGAGTATGTGTATATAATGAATGCAGCGTGTGTGTTGTGTGTGTATAATTAATGCAGTGTGTGTAAACTGGGTGAGGGGAGGGAATTTTTATTTTTATTTTTTTATTTTAATATTATATTATTTTAATGATATTATTTTATTATATTTTATTATATTATTATTATTTTAATATTTGCACTATTTTTATTAAATGTTTTTTTGTCCCCCCTCCCTGGCCAGGCAACAAGCAGGGACAACATTTAAAAAAAAAAAAAAAATGCAAATATTAAAATAATATAATAAAATAATAATATTGAATCCCTTGTGGTCCAGTGGCATTGGCTGTTAAGTGGGGGGGGCTGGCCGTGAGTTGTTACTTACCTTCCTGCAGCTCCTGTCGGCTCCCTTCTCCTCCGTGCAGCTCCTCTGTCAGCTCCGTTCTGCTTACAGAGTAAGTCTCGCGAGACCCTTGTAATGAGCACGGCGGTCCTGTTCTGTATTGTGGCAATGTAAATGTATTGCTCCCTATATAAACATCTAGTTGGCCCCTACATCTCGCAAAGTAAATGTGGCAATGTAAATGTATTGCTCCCTATATAAACATCCAGTTGGCCCCTACATCTCGCAAAGTAAATGTGGCAATGGAAATGTATTGCTCCCTATATAAACATCTAGTTGGCCCCTACATCTCGCAAAGTAAATGTGGCAATGGAAATGTATTGCTCCCTATATAAACATCCAGTTGGCCCCTACATCTTGCAAAGCTCCCATGTTCTACTAGTGAACCTACAAAATATCCTTTTAGGGGTAAACCTTTGTATGTTCCCTTTATTGTACAGATAATATAAGTCAGCAAATTAAAATTTGTAAAAAGATGCTTTGTTTTAAAATCTGTTTAAGGTGTAAAATTGATATTTTTCAGAGATTGAATACAATTAGGAGGCCCATGGTCAAAGTTAATAATTAGAAATAAACAGGTTACTTACATAGTATGCAACCAGTGCACCAAGAGGACAGTCAAGGGCTGTCCAGGGCTAACCCAAATCAAATACTAGAAAATTGCTAGATATTATTCGAATACCATGGTCAAAGTTGAATAAAGGGTAAAGGGAAGTGTTCTGTACGAGCTAATTTGCATATTGTTGCCTTCAATCCTTGATTGTAATAGCTGTAACTCCGTGGAGAAAACACAGTGGGATTCGGTTTGGTTCATCGAATAGTTGCCAGTTCTTGAAGGCACAGCTTTAATCAGCTTCCTAACCTCTATAACAGACACGTTTCAGAAATCAGACCTAGACTTGAAATCCTTAAACACTGATAAGTGCTGCTATGTAGGCTAAACATATTTCTTGTGAATGCAGCTAAATATTGTTTCCCAACACCTCTGGATTAGCAACATGGTTTTGTGTCAGGATTTCAACAGCATAAAAAGTTAGTTCAGAATTTCTTAAAGGTGCTCTTTAACATAATCTGCTGAATGTACAATTTTTATAAGACGTAAAAGGTTTTAAATATGTATTTGCATATACCATTCCTCATAC